ACACATGCTGGCCAAAGAAACAAGGCACTTTAGTCATGTTTGGTCGAGACAACTGAAATGGCTTCCTCAAATTTGTGCTGTATAGGAATTTATCTTGTTTCTTTTGTTATCTTGGAAATAAATTGAACATCATCACAAACAGTTTAAGGTGGCCATTTGCTAAGAGGAAGATGAAAACTTAGAGGTTCTAAATCTATCACTTAGCATGTTTTAAACAACTACGACTAGTCTAACATTTCAGCATGGTAACACTCAACAGAAAATAACAGAAGCCAATGGGGGGGGGGAGAAGGTCTGCTTTTTGTTGTTGTTTTAAAATATACTTCCTCGGTTTTGAACAATATGATGCTGGTTATTTTGTAAAGTACGGGCTCTAAAACTGTTCCCGCCTTCTTCAGGCAAGAGCCTTTGGCAGTCTGGGCACCTGGTTATGGCTGAGCCTGTTGTTTGCCTACTCGTCCGTCACTCTCCCTTTCACGTTAGTAACACAACACAGAGTGGTAATGTGCTCAGCTGGAACACTCCATTTCCCAGCTTCTCCTGCAGATGGGAGCGAACACAAAGGAGGCATTTGTCATTCATTGTGTGGCACCTTCAAGAAAATCTTTTATCCCCCTTCCATGGTTTTCTCGCATGGATCTCCTATATAATAAAAGAGAGCTGACACCCAGCCACCATGCTGTTGACTTTACGAAAGGCGTGTGTTCAGGATGGTAAAGCAAAAAGGCCTAGGGAGCCAACATCACTTAGGACCTCATGTGGCAGGCACGACCGGACTTGACTGGCTCCTTCGACACTAGCTTTTGAGAGAGGAACTGGTATTCTAGGTGAGCCAACGGTATTTCAGTCTGTGATTATGAAAACTGTGTTCAGACACTCATTTGGTTTAGCTGGGATAGCGGGAAAGAAAGCTAAAATTATTTAGCCTTCTGTTTTTATCTGTTCGTGCTTTCTGAAAAATATCTAACTATGAGTGTTTCAATATTACCTTTGAACTGAAGCTTCCCGAGTTTGATTTATTTCCCTGTTCCTGACTTCACTATTGCTAAGAATCTATAAAACACGTCAATTCTGTTTCTTTTTTTTAATACTGTAACCCAGGCTCGTCTAGAACTCACTGTCTAGCCCAGGCTGCCCATGAATATGCAGCAATCCTCTTGCCTCAGCCTTCCAAGTGTTTAGATTATAGGTGTGAACACTCACACCCAGCAAAAATGGTCCACTTGTGTGTGTGTTGCCGCTATAAAATCTGAATTAATCCCTTATTGTACCGAGTCTCTTTGTCTGGTTTGATAGCCTCCTGTCTACTAGTCAGGTTCAAGACTGTAAGGAAGAGTTACTTAAAATGTACTTCTCCAGCACCAGAACATCAGTAGGCTCTCGGGCCCCAGCCCCACCTGCCTGCTCCACAGTCTCTTCAGAGTCCAGCCTCGGAAACTGCATTTTCATGCACTGGGACCTTATAAACATGAAAATATAAAAAAGATTGAGAACTCTCTTTTCAGAAAACAAACAAAAACGTGTGTGTGTGTGTGTGTGTGTGTGTGTATGTGTGTGTGTCTGTCTGTCTGTCTTTCTGTCTGTCTGTCTGTCTCCTGCCCTTCATCACTATAGATTCAGCCTCTGAGTTCCTGTAACCCCCGGACTCCCCTCCCTTGAGGCCTCTGTCCAGGCTGTCCCCTCTACCTGTAACACCCTCTAGCCAGATCTACAGCAGACCCCTCCTAGACCTCTTTCGTGTCACCTTTTCAAGGGAGGCTAGCCCAACAAGCTTCAACGCACTTCTTGACTGAACCAACATGGCTCCTTTGGGATACCACTTTGTTCCAAGGATCTGGCTCCCCACTGGGTCTGTCAGTGACTGCGTATTAGTGTCATGCAGAAATGAGAAATTGGATTAGGCCAACTCTAAGATCTTGTCCAAATATTCAGCTCTCTATCCAAATGACTCATTTGGCATTCATAATGCCTTGACCCAGCAATACTTCACCTGCCCAGACTTATACTCTCTCCCTTCCAGGCTTCCCCCAGCCTGTAGCCATCTTCCTGAAGTCTAATGTAAGCCATGTTCATTCACACCATGTCTTTCAAGCCATTGTTATTACCTTCACCACGTTCTAGTTCTCAAATAGATCCAGCGCCCTTTTAGAGACTGCTAGCTAAAGGCTAGCAGCATTCAGCCCGACCTTTGAGCTTGTCATAAATATAATTGTTCTAGCACACCCCTGGACCTCCTGTATCAGAATCTATATTTAACATGACCCTCTTGTGATTCTCCACACCCAAAGCTGGCACTGCAAGAGGGTTCTGCAGTCATACCTACTCACTTGCTCATTAATAAGCACAAACCGAAGTCCTACAGGACCTATGCCACCCACGGCAAGCTCCATGTCCAATTAACAACCTACCCACTAAGATGACTTACTGCCTACTTTATTTACGTCTTTTCTTTAGTTTGGTTGTAAACAACATAGAAGAGCACAGTAGTTGTGCATCTGGCCAATCTGGATTCAGGGAACAGAAATTCATTCAAGTCACTCCAAAGGAGGTGAAACGGTTTAATGCTACGTGGGAATTCAGAACAGGAAACTAAGGAAGGAGGGCAAAGGTCAGGCCTTCGTGCCAGATCTTGCTTCCGTTCTCTGCTCTTTACCCAGTTTTGGCTGCCTGTTTGGGTATTATTTGCATGGCATACTACAGCCACCCATTTTCTCTCCCACAAGCCCATCCACCTCTGCCCCCTTTTGCTTCGATTCTCACTCTGCCTCTAAGCTTAGTTTTCCCAGAAGCGGTATGCTAGCACGGGGAATCCTTTCTCTGAAACCATAAGGTTACAAGCTCGTGAATCACTTCGGGATTGGCCACCCTGGAGTTAGGAGCCCACCCTGATCCAATCAGCTGAGGCCAAGAGGACCGTGGTTTAGAATAGGGCCCTATCTAGCAAGCAGGAGCTGTCCAAGATTATTCCATAGGAGAGGAACCTGAGGGAGGCTGCCACACTTCCAGTCCACAGTTCCAGGGATACTGGCACTTAGTAAGGTGAAATCAACCAATATGGGAGGGGTTAAGGGTCAGTCACCCGACAGCAGGATGACCCTGACACTGTGCTGGATACGTGGGACTACACAGACTCAATAAACAGCAGCACGTGTTTTCCCAGAGTTCCTGACACAATCGTGCCACTGAACTAGCTTTTTGCTTTTGGTCAGCTCACTAAGCCATACTGGGCCCGGTTTCCTCAACCATCATACTCCAGTTTTAACAGCCTCCAGAAAGTGTTGCAAGATCCCATAAGGCCATTGTGAAAGCGTTTTGAACGATACAGGTGCCAGCCAAAAATACTGCAGTCATTCAAATACTAATGCAATTCTCTCGTGACACAAGCTTTACGCTGTTTTTAGATTTCTTCTCCCTTCCATTCCCCTTAAAATACGATCATCCGTCAGTTACTACTATTTGAAAACACCAACTCGTATGGTAATATTTTCAACATCAACTATCCTCACTTCGTGGCGTCCATGGCTCAAACGGTGAGTGTATTCATTCATTTCACTCAAAATTACAAAAAAAAAAAAAAAAAAAAAGAAAGAAAAAAAAAAGATTATGTTTATGTACTAAATCCTTAAGTAAGATACAGGTCCATTTTGACTTCCGTGTCTTCTGACACAGCAGTTTAATTTAATATTTTCCTGTCTCTTCGAATCAGAAAACCCTACCTATTAGAGCCCGGAATCCCTATTTTTCACAAGCGGTACAGCTCTTACTGCCCCGCACCGCCCCCACCCTCCCCAACCAGGAATCCTATTCTCCTCACTTCTACCCACTCCCTTCCCATCAGAACCACTTTATCATCCACCTCATGGTCAAGGATAAGGATGGGGGCAGGGATGAGAATCGGTGACCACAACAAGGTAGACTAGGTCTCAAAATCGTGCTATCCCATCCTCTTACATGTAGCGTTCAAGGGCAGGGTTAACAGTAGTGGAAAAAACAACCGGAAGAAAATAAAAGTATAGCGTTTTAGCTTTGCTCCATCCAAACCGAGGGATGTTTACTGAATGCCTGTCCCACGCCTGGCAGGAGGCGGAGGGCTCCTCAGCCAGGTTGCACAGCATTTCAGCCTTTCCCAAAGCGCCCTTGTCCATAACCTAGGGCATCTGTTGCACACTTCCTACAAGTGGAGCCACTCAACAGCTGGCCCTGGGTGGAGCAAAGAAAGCAGCATGCACCTTACTCAAATCAGCTCAGCCGGCCAAAGTGCAGGTTTCAAGCAAAAAGAAAAACAAAAATGAAACCTAGCACTAGAGCCTGGTGAGCCGCAGGGGGGCAGAGCTGCCGAGACTGGAAAGCCGCCGGGTACCCACTGAGCACCCAAACCCAATTAAGGCTCCACCAGCCCAGAGAGGCTGGGAACTGTGGATCAAAGAATCGCGGCGCCTGGGAATGGCAAACCGGCTCTTCGGGAAGCCGTGATGTGGGGGCAGTACAACAGTGGGTGCTGGAGGCCGGGGACAGTGGGTTGGGGGAATCTATTCATGGGGATGGGGAAGCTGATTGGGAACAGGAAGATGGCAAAGATTGCGCGCTATTGGGGAGGAGGGGGCGAGCGGGGG